CCGCGTCGCTGCAACTCTCGCAGGAGAAAGTACCTCACGTCAATGTGCTTCACTCTACTCTCCAGTCGAGGCTCTCACGGTTATAATTAGTTCCACGCATGGTAACAGTGGTCACGGTTACAGTCTACAGCTTCGCCTCGGCCTTAGTGGACCATGTGCTCACACCATGGAGTGCCGCCACAGGCCAGCCCAGAAGGTGATACCGTCCTCTCCCTAGCACACTTGCTGTTACAGTCACTGTGACCATTATTGTTAGAATGAAAGTAATGATCTTGGTCATGTTTGAAAGCAAGGCCATGGGTTTAAATAAATGGCTGGCACCTTTGGACTTGGTTCTATTATGTGAAAACCTTTTCGCTGGACAATTTATGATAGGCGCATGTTGTATTATATAGAGATTGTCGAAGTGAAATTCTTGGTTCCTCTTGGGACTTGTCCGTTCATTTATATGTACTTGTGGACACGACTCTGACCCACTGAAATCAGGTTCATCCGAGCCCGGATTCATGCATAAAATCTATAACGAGGATAACTCGAGAGTCCCCCAAAGCGAATCACCTCAGCACTGATTTTGCGCGTGCCAACTTCACAGTGCGCCACGCCAGCCATTTAACGGTACCGATGTGCGCTCACGTTCTTCAGCTGGACCTGACCGTAGATGAGTCCAGCCTTTGCTTCCAACTTTGAGGGTTGTCTGTCGTGTAACGTGATGCGTGACGTTTGCGGACCAACCAACACCTATGTGACACGCCCTCTTGAGTGTCATTCACCATTCACCATTCACAGTTCATGATTCACCCTATTTGTGATTCGGGGAAGATATCAGCGAGATCCCTCCAGAAACCCGCTTTTGCCCCTGCGGGTTTCCCCTGGAGGGATTTCCGTTTTCCCGCAGTCGCCTAGCTAAGCACGCGAGGGGCGGGAGCCGACCCCCCCCCCCCCCCCCCCCCCCCCCGGCCCAAAAACGGGCACCCCCAGCTGGCGCCAGCTGCTAGCAGTCCCCCCCAACTGAACCGAACCCCACCCTCGGCTCGTAGACAGGTTCCGTCCGGTAACCCACGGAACCCTCGCCGGAAGTCGCCTCGCCGACGGAACCCGTCCGCAAATTCTCGCGAGCGGACGGAAGCGACGCCCATCTGCGCCGCGCTCCACCACTCTCGCCCTCGACGGGGCCCGTTTTGGTTGGTGCTCGACCCTGGTGATGTGTCAAATGCCCCCTCCCGCTCCTTGAGAGGGGCCTTTCAGCTGCATGTAGGGCGCCCCACCTTATGCAACCAACCACCAATAGGGCCCCGCCGCCCTCTGCCATAAGCTCCTCCTACCGCCGTCGCGGAACGCGCCCTGCCTCGTCGCCCTTGCACCCGAATCTGTCTCGGTGGAGGGGATGGCAAACAGCTAATACCCTGAGTGCGTTCTCATTTTGTTGCAGTCTCCGAGTTTTTCTTCCCTACTCCCTAGTTCCCAACTTCCCTGCGCTCCCACCCTCCCTACTGCTAGGCCTGTCATGGCTACAGGCCCCGCCTCCCTTCCCGTCGTGAACGAGCCGACGGTTCGACGCGGCCTCATCCTAACCGCAGGCGGGATCGATGTGGAGGTGTTCAAAGACCAGTTGAATGCGCTTAACGAGGCGCCGAAGGCGGAGCTCGACGAGATGATGATGAACGCGGGCGTTGTGTACGTTTCCTGTCGAGCATTTTCGGTTTGCCATGTTTACCTGTCGCTGATTGTGCCTTAGCTTTCTGTGCAGCCTGTTTTCGAGGGAGCTGCTGTCCGTCGAGCAGCTCGCCAAGCTATCGATCGTGACTTCGACGCGAGCGCATGAAGAGATGGCGCGTCCCACACCGGTCGCTTTTGCGAACAACCACCTCGACGACCTGCTCGGAAAGCAAGTGACTCTCGTTCTGCTACGGACCACGTGAGTTCGACACTATCCCGTCGCCTTGCGTGCTCCGTGTTTAGTACTAAACCCGTGCTCACGTGCATTTGCTCTTCATGCAGCTTGACTGTGGCGCCGTTCTCCCATTCGAGCCTGTTTGTGGTATCGCGCCCTGACGATCTGCTGGCTCCGAGGCACCATGGCTGTCGAACTCGAATGATGCACTTCGATTCGAAAGACAGGTTTCCCGCGGTGAACCACCAATCTTCGCTGGCGCATGAAGTTCTCGTGTGAGCGACCGATTTGCCACCCTGTTGTCGACTTGCCGTTCTCGAAAATCTCTTACTCTCCTGCCCGTTGCTTTGCAGTTGGATGAAGAAGCAGCATCGCGCCGAGTACGCGACGACCCAACGGGTTGTGACTGACCACGAGCAGGGGGTGCTTAGCCTCATCGACCTGCGTCTGGACATGATCACGAGTTTCGATCATCTGGTAAGCCAACCCTTACCCTTACTCGTGCATGTTTTCGTAGAGCATGTTGTTCTGTCGCTTACGTGTGTTTTATACCCGTCGCAGACGACGACGGCCCTGACGAGCCCCAGTGAACCCGACGCGGCAGCTCGTGTCGTGCACGGGGTGCGCCAGATTCTGTCGAACTGGGACAATTTCATCGTGCAGCCTTGACAGGGCGACCTCGTGATGCTCGGGAGAACGAGCCCTGGCCCGGGTTTGCTTCCGTCGTTCATGGTCAAACTGTTTTGGAAAATGATGGACGAGGCGGCGGAGGGAGTAGGAGTGGGAGGGGGTGCTGAACACGAGGGAGGAGGCAAGGGGGCCCCACACGTTGTGGTTGAGTACAGCTAGAAGGAGGAGGAGGAGGAGATCGAGGAGGATACATCGAGGCAAGCTCAGCACGGGGTGAGCGGCCCGGGCGGCAATGCGAACGAGCAGGAGGGCTTGAGCTCGGAATCGAGCTCCAGATCGAGCTCGAGCGATGAGTCGATCAAGCACGACGACGAGGGCACAGGAGAACATCCAGATGGGACGGAGCACAAAAGACGTCGGCGACGAGCTTCTTCTGCGCCACGCGCGCACGGCGGGCACGAAATCGACGCACGCCCAGGGCACGAGACGGGCTGAAAATCGACGCTCGCCTGGGGCGCACGACGGGCAGAAAACCGACGGGCGCTCGGGGCGCGCGACGGGCAACAGAGTGACGCATTAGAAGCGAAGGGTGGGCCCAATGAGAATGGTCCAGGATCGGAACTTGCTCTGATACCATGTCAGAATAGTATCTTAGTAGAGAGTAGGAGCTATGCTCGGGTTGAGGCTAGACATGAGTGTCGAGAGAATTGAAGCAAGGAAAAGTCGAGAAAGATGGGTTTCACTATAGAAAATCAAGAACATGTATGGGGAAGGAGGGGGGTGCACCACCAAAACAAGAAGAATATAGCTACACTAGGATCTAGTATAGGAAGGTATATGAATGTATACAAATCCATTTCAACAGCGTGGCGCAAGAACAAGGGGAGTGTCTTTTCGACGATTGAGTTCTGTCGAAGTCCTGTAGTTTGACTGTCGTGGCAGTTTTAATATTTTCGTCGAAGTGCTGTCGGATTTCCTGTCGAAGTCTTGCCGTCTGACTAACGCATTTGTTTCGATTTGCAGTTTCCGGTCGCTGCTGGCGACGGCAAATACGGAAGTGAGAGCCGGAACCGACTGGGGAATTGCGCTATGCGCGGTGATTGGGAAGGTTGCGACGCTTGGCCGGAGGCACGGGAACGTGATTTATTTGGTCCCGAAGAACATGTACGGGACTGCGCACATGATGGCCGTCGCAGCAACTGTGGCAAGCTTGTGGGCGGCCTGCAGGAAGTTGTCGAGGGAAGACATTAAGAAGGATGCCCTAGCTGTCGCAAACGCAGCGCTCTATGCCTTGGGGATGGCGACACGGGCTGGTGCGGCTGCCATGGCTGTGCTGCTGTCCGTACTTTTGCACGTCGGCAAGACGTTCCCGGCCAAGCAGTGGCCCGATCTGCTATATTCGTCGGCTGTCGAAGGCCTCTGCTCGTCTGACGCCACCCTGTTGCAGATGGTGCGCGTGGCAACACAAGTCTGTACTCAATGGTGCTGCTGACGATTTGCTGCCCGTTTGCTGGAGGACGCGGGCTATGGGAGCCTGGCTATGCCAAAAGAAAAGAGCAAGGCGAAGCTAGGCGACGAGGAGGCAACAGAGGCGGAAACAGGCAGGCAAGGGGAGTAGTATAGGTGGGCGCATTGCGTGGGGGTTTTTGCATCATTCGACAGATGTGTTTGTTGTTTCGATAGGTTGATCGACAGATGTTCCTTGACTTAATGTTTTCGAGAATGCTCAATTGGTTCATCTTGTCGAGATGGTGTCACAACATGCATTAGGGGAAGATGCCATGTAAACCCTGAACAACCTACACTAGAGTCCCCCCTCGTCACGGTTGCTCGTCGAACTAGGCCGCGTCGAACTAGGCTGCACGCCAGTTGTTGCCGTGAACTCTTTCTATTTCTCCTTGCTGAACACCTTCTCCGCCCATTTTGCGGTTCGGAGCTTGACGCGAATGAGCTCCAGAGTGATTCTAAGGCGTTGTTTGTCCTTTCGGTTTTCCTCTACAGACTCGACTTTGTGCTTTTTTGTGAGCTGCCTCCCAGAATCCTCCTTGAAAACGATGCCATCCGAAAGCATGTTGATCGAGTGGCCCTTCACAATTGAGTCCAGCTTTTCGATGATCGTCGACGTAGCCGCGCTGCTGTTGTCGATCCGGAAATGCTCGACGGCCTTCATGACAGCCTCCATTTTCCGCAATTTCGTCTCGATAGCTTTTGCGGTTGGTGGATTTTCTTTTGGCTGGGCCTCCTTTTCGGGGGTTACGGGGGGTGGAGTCGGTGTGAACTTGCAGAACTTGACGGCGAAGCCCCTCTTGTACGCCTGTCGAAGACTATGCCCGTTGTTCAGTGGGCTTGGCCCGTCCCAGTACGACCACGCCTTCCGCACGGTCTTGCAATTGCACCACGGCCACACCACCGCGTCGAAGAACGCCTGGTCGAGCTAGCTGCCGACGCTTTGTCGAGAGGGCGTTGCTTGTTAACCTTACTATGGATCCGGGGTGGCTTCCTCAGTCGCCGTCAGCAGCACGCTCTCGCTCTCCCCCACATTTGCAGCTGCGCTTGTCGCCGCGGTATTCTTCAATGCGTCGAACGCTTTCTGTAGTTGCGCGAACGCCTCTGTCTTCGCCTCCAACTCAGCTTTCATCGAGCTCTTCTCCTGCTCCAATGACTCGACCTGCTTCTCGAGGTGGTTGATCTGGATTTCCTTTTTCCCTCCCTCCTCCTTGTGGAGGTTTATCTCGGCCCGAAGTTGCGTGACGAGGTGCTTGGTGTTGAGGTGAGAGGATATGTCCTGCACGCAAGAACACGTGCAGTCAGTGGGCTGATGCAAAGTCGTCGCTTATAGTTTTGGAAGGACCATCTTACCGTCGCTCTCGACATCGTGGGGTTGGTCCGCATCTCGATGCCGTACTTGTCGAGCGTGTACACGTCGAGCACCCATTTTTGGAAATCTTCGTCCTTGCACAAACCCGACATCTGGACGTAAGGGTGATGCTCGCAGTCACAAACGCTGACCCCATCGAAGGGGTGGTCCTCACAATGGACATGGTACATCGCAAGATCCTCTGCGATGGGCATTCGGGCGGCTAGCAGGGCCTCCAAGAAACTCTTCGCTGCGTAGTACATATGTTCCTTGTCCTGCTCGTTGTTCCACTCCTGGGCCTGAACATAAACGAACGGGGTTACATCGATAGATGGATGGGCGAGAAAAACTTGCGTTCCATGAAGACGCCAAGTGCTCGACACATACATACCTCGATGAGCCACAGCTCCGCCTTAGGAAATATGTGCTCCTCGATAGCCTTCAAGACCTTCGGGGACACTTTGGTCTTCGATCTTCCGATGTAATAGTCGCCCGGTTCCTGCGAGAAACCCGCTTGCATCTGGATGGCCGGGCGCGGGATGCGTGTGACGTATGACCTGCGCATCTCGTTCATGTCCCATTGACCCAGCTGTGCGATGGTGTCGAGGTCTAAACTCTTGTCCTCGAGGATCTGTGCTGCAGATCATCGAAAGATGTGCGTGACTTTCGACAGGATCCACACCGCGCTATTCATCGCCCATGTCACCCATTTGCTGTGCGTCGGGTACGGCATCTCTGTATTCTCTTTGTCGAAGAGGGCGAAGAACAGGTGTTTCTTCGACCAGGCCTCCGGGTTTGAAAAATCCAAGGGGGGCACAATATTCGCGTTGTTGTAGTAGAGCAGCACGAGGTCGAAAAGGAAGTGTAGCCAGAGAAAAACTGCTCTAAAGCCGCACTGCTGGAAGTCCATGTGTCGAGTCAGGTACAAGTGTCCGAGCTTGTTGTCTTTGACGGGTCTTCGAATTGCGATAGGCGACCACGAGAACGAGAATTGATTCCCCCGGGCTGTTCGTGATGGGCAGAAAGTCGTGAGTGAACATGTTACAGTAGCGGATTGTACGGATGCTGATCCCCCTGCCCAGCATGTGATGCGCCATCAGAATCATCATGTCAGAATCATGAACGAGAATGGATGAACTATGAAAAAGTTGGGTACAAGTACTAACCCTAATTGGGTTTTACCCCTTATGGGCTACCCCATTACAGCCCACACAAATGTAAGCACTATAACATTCTGACACACCCCCATAGGCAAAGTGGGGGAGAACAAGTGGTCACAAGACCAGTCAAAAAAAGCAAAGCAAGCTCAGGGTGGATCCCAAAGTCACCACATAGTCCGAGCACAAGCAAAGGGCCACAAGGCCAGTTCACATGCAGAGTTATATAAAAGAGAAGAAACAATACAGTGATCATAGCCTTGAAAGTGCAATCATGCAGGTATATATATAGATCACAGTACAAGCAAAGTCACGCAGTAAACAAGTGAGGCAAAGTAGGCACAAGGACTAACACAGTAGAGAAGCGCTGATGATCACCAGGCGGAAGTGCCTTGGTGAATATATCAGTAGTGTTGGCCCTAGTGGCCACGTACGCAAGACGAAGCTGGCCACGCTGCTGCAACTCTCGAGCAAGGAAGTATCGCAGAGCTAGGTGCTTCGTTATGTGCTCCAGTCTGTGCTCTTGACACAAGGCAATCATGGCCTTGTTGTCTACGTACAGTACTGGAGGCGAACGAGGCTGCTCTCCCAAGTCAGTCAGCAGGAAGGTGAGCCAGCGTAGCTCCTGTGCAGCCATGGCCCCGGCGTAGATCTCAGCCTCACAACTGGAGCTGAGAACCGAAGACGAGCGGGTAGACTGCCAGGAAACAGAGCCAGAGCCAAGGCTGAAGGTGTAACCCTGTGACGACCGCTGCGTAGCTGAGTCGTTAACCCAAGAAGCATCTGCGTGACCGGTGAGGACAAATGGACCCCGTCCTCCAAGCATGAGCCCCATGCCCGACATACTGCACAAGTAACGCAGTACCCTCTTTGCAGCATCCCAGTGCACCTTTCGGTGCCTACCGGAGCCACGTAGCGAGCCAGGAGGCTAAGAGGGTACGCGAGGTCAGGTCGTGTGCACGTCATCAGGTACATGAGGCAACCAACAAGCTCTGGGTACGAACCACTCGGCTCTACGGACTTGTCCGAACGTGGAGCTGAGAGCGAGTGGCTGGTGGACAGAGGACTGGACTGTGGCGAGGAGAACTGGAAGTCGAAGCGCTGAAGGTCCTGGTGCACCATGTGTGACTGAGTCAGGGTGATGGTGCGCCGTGCTCTGTCCCGGGTGATCTGCAAGCCAAGATAGCTGCGCAGTTCACCCAGGTCAGTGCAAGTGTGTCTCTTCTACAGCTCCGACTTCTTAAGGGTCAGTGCCTCAGTGTTAGCAGTGGCAAAGACGAGGTCGTCGACGTAGACGAGGACGTAGAACGGCGGCAGCGTGGTGTCGGTGCGTAGAAACAGCGATGGGTCAGCAGTAGAAGGAGCAAACCCAAGAGCCGCAAGTGTAGTCCTCAGTGTGTCGTGCCACTTGTGAGGCACCTGGCGGAGACCGTAGCCTGGCCGTTGGAGGCTCCACTGGGTATCTGCAGGAAACGACCCAGTGAAGCCAGGTGGGCGGCGCAGCCAGATCTCCTCGTGCAGGCTGCCCTGCAGGAAAGCTGTGCTGAAGTCCAGAGAGTGCAGCTCATAGTCACGCTGAGCAGCGACGTGCAGTTGTACCCGAAGAGTAGTCATCTTCGGGGTGGGGGAAAAGGTCTGGAAGTAGTCAACCCCCTGTCGCTGACTGAAGCCTCGAGCAACGTAACGCGCATTGAAGGCAGGCGGAGAACCCGGCGACCGCTTCACCCTGAAAATCCACATGCCATCGACTATGTTCGCCCCAGGTGGGGGAACCTCGTCAACGTAGGTGCGTTTTGACTTCCATGATGCCATCTCGGCATCCATGGCTGCCTGCCACTGAGAGGAGTAAGGACCCGTAATCGCCTCTGCGTAAGAGCGCGAGGTCGGGATGTCTGGAGCACCCGGGTCTCCCTCAGGGGCAAGCAGCATGGAAGCGAAACGAGGTACAGCAGCTGCAAGACACTCAAAGTCCTCCTGCCTGTCCTCAAGGACGTCGGTGCCAAGAGCACACTCACCCCTGACGAACGGAGGACTGGCAGACGCAGACTCAGCAACAAGAGCAGAGGCGTAGCCTAGACGGCAGGCAGCAGCAAAGTCAAACAGCTCAGCAACGAGGGCAGATGCAGCAGTGGACTCGAAGGAAGGGTTTTGTGACAGCAGTGGCGAGGAGACGAGAGACATTGGGACTGGCAGCACGAGCGCGGTTAGACTGAGGGTCAGGGACCTCAGGAAGAGAGGACTCAGGAGGAGCAGGCAGAGGAACACGCAGTGGAGCAGAGGAAGGACGAAGTGTCATAGCGTGCGTGCCGGGGACAGGAGGAGGACGCGGACGAGGAACGCGACGAGTAGTGCGAACAGGCCAGATAGGACAAGACACAGGCTCACGATGCTCTGCAAGACCGCCAGACTGCTCAGTGTAAGGAGAAGGAGCAGGCAGTGTGGAGGCCGGCTGTAACGGCAGCTGCGACTGTTCAGGCGGTGGACACAGGAGGGGAGGAGTAAGGCTAGTAGAAGACGGGACACCAAGAACATGCTGAAGCAGAGGAAAGAAGTACGGTCGCGGCCGCACAGTGCCTCCAGGGTCAACAGCTCCAGCTCCTCCAGCTCCTGCGCCTCTCGCGCCAATGTCTCCAACTCCAGCGCCTCCAGCGTCAGTGCCACCAGCGCCAGCGCCTCCCGCGCCAGTGCCACCAACTCCAGCTCCTTCAGCTCCAGCGCCACCAGCGACAGGGCCTCCAGCTCCAGCAGCTCTAGGCTGCGTAGGGTCCCTAGCACCACCAGTCCCGGCAGCTCCAGTACCTTTGGTACGAGCACCTCCAAGACTAGTAGCCGCAGTATCTCCAGTAACACCAGCTCCAGCAGTAACTCCAGCACGTCCAGCTCCAACGGCTCCAGCACCTCCAGCTCCGGCGGCTCCATGTTGGTGCAACCCTACGGTTTGCACTCGGCTTGTTGTCCGTGTGCGTGAATGTGTGTGTGTATGGAATGGTATGAGGGCATGGGATAATATATATTTCATGCTTATAATTGTGTGTGAATGTTGAGTCATGATGTCGAGTGTGTGTGTCGAGTCAATAGCGAGTTATCGCTAGACGCGCGTTACGCGGTCGTTTGTGTCTCGCGCGCGGTTTCTATTTTGTCGTGCGCGGTTTCTATTTTGTCCTGTGTCGAACGTTCGGCGAGTCGCAGGTGTGTGCAGCAGACCCATCAAGAACTCAAGGATGAGTTTGTGATGAAGAGCCCGAGCCTTGGTGTCAAGCCTCAAGTGATTTCGAAGCTCGCCAAAAGGGTACACCTCAAGATATTGAAGATAGTTACATTACTTTGTGTAGTGTAACATTTCACTTGGTGTAGGCCCTAGTGAAGGGTAGTTTCGAGACCCTTCGTGGTTGGGGACAGTGTGGCACTGTTCCACATCACTGTACCTCGGCTCTTGGGGTTTGTAGGAGCTGGGAGTCATTCCCAACTCGTAACTCTTCCTATCTTGTGTTCTAAGACTATAGTGGCTGCCATAGTACCGTTCGTTCAAACCGACGCTGTGTCGTCAATTCTTTATGAAATCGTGCAATCTAAATTGCTTATTGTAGGCGACGTCAAGACGCTCCAGATCCAATTTGAATCAAGTCATTTGCAGCTGTGAGCAGAACGCTATCAACGTTTGAAGCCGCTGTGCAGAAATCCGTCTGTGCACTCTATCTTTCGTTTTAGGCACATTCAAGGCTATTGTGATTATAACAAGTGGTGTCAGAGCCCCTCGGAGCAGTTTCGACAATGGATGGACCTGAGGAAAGGGGTGGCAGAGTTGCTGGTGGCAGTGGAGAAGCCCAAGCTCAAGGCCAACCCCGTGATTCAGCCATGGCGCCCATGCAACCAAGTCTTGGCCCACCTAGGGATGAGCCTAGGGTGTTTGGGCTTGACAAGTTCAACGGTGACAACTTTGCTGAATGGTCCTTCAAGATGGAGAACATCTTTGACCACTATGACCTGCTGGAGGTGATGGAAGGAACGGAGAAGCGCCCCGAGAACGACCCGGAGAAGAGCCCGTGGGTGCGGAAGAGCGCACAAGGCTATCTCCTACTTGGGCAAGCGTTGGGGAGCAGCCAGATCCGTCACATCAAACCATTCCAGCGTGAACCAGAGAAGGGACCAAAGGCATGGGCTGCTCTCAAGGGTGTACATGCTCCTGCAACAGCGGCGGTAGCGGTGGTGTTGGAACGGCAAATGGCGGCACTACGAATTGAAGAAGACGAAGCGGTTGAAGAAGGGGTGCAGAAATTCTTCGACTTGTTGACGCGGCTTGAGGGAGCTGATTTGAACTACAGTGAGCTCCAAAAGAAGACCAAGTTGCTGGCCTTACTCCCAGAGTCATGGTCCTCTCTCATCATCAACCCCAATCGTGACTTGCCCC